GCGCAATATGGTTCATGGGGTCACGAAGAGTCGGACACGACTTAACGACTGAACAACAAATCTTACCATTGTGGATTACTAGTAATTCATTCTTACACTCTTCCCATTATAACATACTGATATCAAATAGGAAAAATCAGCAATTTATATTGAATCATTGAAATTGCTCATGCAAAAATATTTCGATTCCACACACATTCATTTTACTTCTTTAAACTATTTGATGTATAGTTCTCTGCAAATGCAGATTGATTGAAACACACAATTACATTCTTGAATTCCATTATGCATTTCTGCCAACTTCTTTCAGAGTTTTTATTTTAATAAGCATATGTATTAAAGCCTTTCTTTACTCTTAGCTTACTGTGTTTAGAAGATTTTGCAGTTGTTACTGTGTTTATCCATTGTGCTATTCATCTTTAACATTTTTCCTATTCTTTCCTCATTAAAAAGGTATGATTCCAGATTCACGTTATCTGTAGTATTAAACCTATCCATTCCATGCTTATCCTTAATTTTACCACTTCTAAAGAGATCTTTAATCTAAGCCAAAAAATGTTCATATTGTAGTAATTTGCAGAGATTTCAGTCTCTGAGACTTTCATGAATTGCATAAGGTCTAAAAAGGGAATCTCTGTACATTCCACTAGACAAGCTTTGAACCTTTCATGCACACAAGAATCTTATGATCCTAAGGTTCTCCTTCAGACTCTTTCATTCAGGGTATGAAGATTAGGATTGGGACAGCAAGCATGGGGACATGGAGATCCTGGGTTCAGGATTAGCATGCACAAACCCAACGTATGGAAGCAAAGACCTGGACATGGATCTTTTTATTTAGTTAAAGAATTTATGTGGTCACCCATCTACCAATGGAATTCTGAATGATTAACAAAGATAAACACATAATACAATGATCAAGATCACTTGAAAGAAAAAGACAGAAAAACAAACACATAATATAGTGATCAAGATCAATTTGGGAAAAAGAAAACAGAAAAACAAAGTCAAGACCCTATAAAATCTCAACACAGATTGAAGTGCTGCCTAAGAATGAATTAAAGACTCATGGTGCTTCTAGACAGTGACTTCCTAGTGCTACCAATCAAAAACATTGCAGATATTTTGTCTTTCCCTCCTTAATGATTATTTTTTTGGGGGGGGGGAAGAGGCAAGCCAGAAACAGGAGTGAAAAACATAGAAGTTACAGATGTAAGATGTCATTTTCTAGACCCTCCAATAAAGTTCTAACTTTAGGCAATTGTATAATAAAAGCCTAGTCAAAGCCTATTAGACTCAAAGGCCTCAGGGCTATTATTCTGTGCAACTTCATTCTTCTGCTTCAAAAATAACTTGTTAAATAATAATTTGTTAAAATGATAAATAGCACTTTTCAAAATCAGAAGTCAGGCAATATCTTGAGTATTTGACTTCATTCTGCCATTTTCCAAAATCCTAATTGATATTTTCTCTATTGAGCATTCTTGACATGGAGGCTAGCAAAAACATGGGCTAATATTGTTCCCTTGCTATGATATCTGTGCCTGTCACATTACTGGTTGATGCAGAAATAACATTAATCTGAAGAAGATCAGTTCTCTTATACTGAACTGAACACAGAATTGGGGAATCAGTGAATTTATAGATGAACTACAGTTCCAGCATCCCCATTGACCATGTTGGTTAGGTCTGCTTGGACTTGTTCAACACTGAGGTCCATATATTTGCCATTTTTTATTAACGATGGTTTCTGTCCCATGAGGAAGGCTACAGGAATAGAAGTGGTTTCTTTGTGTCTGATGCTACTGATGCATCAGCCAGGGGTGTGGCCAGCAGACTTTGTTGATGAGGGATGATGTTATATCCATGACTTTTACCATCCCCTTATTCAAGAGTTTAGTGCTTAATGCTCATCTTTAATGATTTCATATCAATTACATTTCCAGTGCAGGCAGACCTTGTTTAGCGACTGCCTTGCATAGTGACTGTTTGCAGTTATAATGGTGATGAAAAAGTAACTTTACAACCAATCAAGTTTGTAAAACCAAGGAAAGCTGAAGTAAGATCATAAGCACAGTCATGGTTTCACTTAGCAACTACTTCCCTTAACAATGAAATTGCTGGTCCCAATTGTGGTTGCTAAACAAGGACTACCTGTACATACAAATACTCATGTCACTGCAATCCATTGGGTCTTGGTGTATTTGACTTGCAATTGAGTGAATTGCATAGGATGCTATTTTTTTCTTGTAATTAGCAGTAGAAAACTGAAATCCAAACCAGCAGCTTTTTAAATTAATCCAACCTATGACAATATGCTGTCTTCCTTATTCTTGCTTCAGTTTCAAGGATCATGTGGGCAGCACCTTTAGAGAAGACCATCTGCTCCAGTCACTTATATCAGAAAAATGGAGCTGTCCCATTCCAACTGATGGTAGCTCCTTCCCATTTAGTTCGGATGGCCATTTCCAGAGAAGAGACTCTTTTCTCCGGATCACTGCCCTCCTTGCCGTGTTTTTCATCCCAATGATGAGAATGTGTATCTGAGAAGAGAACAGCAAAAATGCATGTACACTCCTTCATGCAAAACAGAGCCTCTAGATTTTGGGTTCAATTTAGTATTAATTCAGCACATAGCCATCTATTGACATTAGCAGCTGGATGTACGTAAGTCTCAGTTACTTTTCTGAAATGCCTCTCAGAATAAAGCTCACAGAATGTAATTTTTGTGGGAGAAATGATACAAAGGAAAATTATTGTACCCTATTTCCACATGGCCACATTTCAAATTAGGAGCATGGCCTACAGTTCTTAATACAGAAGACCAACCGGTCAAGACCAGTTCTGTATAATTCTAGAGGAATGGAATAATGGATTTAAGACACAGGAAGGCAGATATCAGTTAAATGTTAGGAAAAAAAATTTCCCAACAGTGAAACCAATTACCCAAAGAAATTCTGGGTTCCCTTCATGGGACATGTTCAAGTAAAGGCTAGATAGCCCTAGGGATGTGGGGAAGGGATGCTTTAATTTGGATTCTTGCACTGACGAGATTGTTGGACTCAGTAGCCTAAATAACCTCTTCCAACTCTATGAATCAGAGAATATTCTGAAAGATGAAAATGCAAGTGTGCATTTATCATTCCATGTCATTAGATTCAGAGCTGCAAGCCAAGGAGGGAGGGAGGGAGAGAGAGAGAGAGAGAGAGAGAGAAACTGAAATTTCTGTCCTTTTTTGTAGATATTCAAGACAGTGTACATAATAGCCCACCTCCCAATTTTATCTTCACAACAATCCTATGCAGTAGATTGGATTGGGAAACAATTATTGTCCCAAAGTTATGTTGTGAGTTTCCATGACTGGGATGGATTTGAACCTGGGCCTCCCAAGTCCCAATTGCATATTTTAACCACTATACCATAATATATAGGACCCTTCAACATAATATTTTACCTTGTATTTTTCTTATATATGTCCCCAACTTTCTCCAAGGAGCTCAGAGCAATATACATAGGTCTCTCTCCAGTTTTATTTTTACAACAATGTTTGAGACAGAATTGGTCATAGAGACAGTGGCTTGTCTCAGATCATTGCATGGTCATCATGACAATCTGAATTCTTGTCCTCCTAATCTGATACTATTTGCTTGTATTCATGTTTGTATATTTGTTTAAAAGAAAAAGAAGATAAAGCAATTATTTACAAAGATGTTTCAAACATTCAGGATTCGATAGATATTAAAGAAGCTAAGCCAAATAGTACTGCCTTGGGTACTTTGCTTTACCATCCGGGAGGTGGTGACTGGGAAATCCTATTTAGCCAATCTCACCTGGATATTATCTGCTTGCAGGGACTTTTTAAAGGAGGTGATGGGAGCAATGTGGAGGAGATCCCATCCAAAATATGGTTCAGCATTTGAAGTGATTAATTGAATCAGTGCTTTTGACGTGTAGTAATACATCTTATTAGTTAACACACAATTCCAAGAGCTATTTTAATTGCTTGAATTTCTTCACACATTTCCATTTACTGGAAATTTATTGACTTCAGTGGTCTCTCTCTCTCTCTCTCTCTCTCTCTCTCTCTCTCTCGAAATGTTTGGGTCTCCTAATTGTTGCAATATTTTTTCAAGTCCATTCTCAGTCAGAGCTGGGTCTTTAAGAGGGAGGGACTTGCTAGATTGCTTATTTGAATTTGTTTAGAGTTTGGATGATCTCCTAAGAATTTTTTAGGAACACCTTTTAATCTGGGATGCATCACTGTATATTTAAAAAATTAGAAAGTGCATTTAATCAATATAGCTTTTTAAATTTGATTTACACTGATCAGAAAAGGCAGGAAAATGGATTTAAGCATCGCTTGTGGGGAAAAAAAGAACTAAGCATCTTCCTTTAATACTTCTCCAGTAGATATAAATGCCTACCTATTGTTAGATGGACAGTTGTTTTTGGGGAGGGTTGCCCCTTATAAAAATACAAGTCAAAGAGATGTTCCGTTTTCCAATCGGACATTAATAACCTGTTTAAACTGAAGAGAATGCTGTATGTTTCATTTATGTTACACAGCCATATAGGCAATTTTGGAGTCTTCAACATGCTTCCAACCTGTAATATAAAACGTATAGTTACGCAACTAGTGAAATAAAATGCATTTGCTTATTTTTTTAAAAATCACATATTTGCATATTTTTTAAAAATCACAGATGTCACATGTGGAACAAAATTTTATCTGACAAGGCAGAGAAAGTACCGAAAGTGGAACTACAAATGACAGGCCAAGATAATGATTTAGAAAAGAATGCTTTTTACTGGATATACAAAAGAAACTAGCTGAAGTTTTAAAAATTAAAAGGGAAACACAAAGGATAAACCAAGAGAATGACCTGGAAAATGTTTTCTTATTTTATCTACAAAAGAGGCTTATTAAAGCCTTGAAGAAATCTATGTGATGGGATAAAGAAGAATTGAAGAGAAATAAAATCCTATGACAAC